ATATAATATATATTATATATTATATATTATATATTATATATTATATATTATATATTTTATATTTTACATTATATATTATATATTATATATTATATATTACATATTATATATTATATATATAGATTTTGAAATTTAAAAAATGTTTTTTTAGTTTTAAATCTATTTCTTATCGGCTCTACAAAAAAGGGAGTTTTTATGATTTTTGCTTAATAGTTGGCTCACATATTCGGAGTATATTTTCCCACAATTAGGATCATCGATAATATCAGTTCAAAATTTGATGTTTGCCATCGATGTTTAAAATTTTCTAACATTGCCAAATTTACGATACATCGATATTACGTTTCAACGATGTTTTGCAGATCGACTTTAATGTGTCTCATACTTGCTTTGGATTTAACTGAACTATTAATTTGCTATAGGTGTTTGAGTGGTAATGAATTTGATTATTCATACTTTTGGGGAACAAAAAGAAATTTTAAATTTAGGTTTTAGCATTGAGAATGCTTGGGCGGATCCAGAAGTTTCTTTAGGGAGGAAAGATCATGTAGCTTTCATCGAAAATCATGAAAAAATATCATTTAATGTTTACTTAAAAAAAAAGCAAATTTAATTAGTTCATGTGTTTTATTTATATTAAGTAATGCAAACACCCGGCGTGCTTCGCCTTAAAAGTGTTTTTGTGTTCCTACCACCTCCCAAAGCTCTTATGGCCTCATTCATTAAAAAATAAAACTAATTTGAAAAGATTATGAAGTGAGATTTTCAAACAATTCAATGAAGCATTATTTACATTTTATAATTGTGGGTCTTCGTTAATATATTTTCGAAGGTATTAAAAAGTTGGTAAATTATCGACTTTCCTCTGAAAATTTAATTTATAATCTTATAACTCGAGTCTACATGCCGCGCACTTTCTTCAAAAATATTCAAATATCTTCTTCCATAAAAAGCGGAAATGCTTTACAAATAACACAGTATTAACCATGATATAAAAGTGTAAAGGTAAAACCGCTGAGAAGCAGCCTGAACATTTTTTAAGGCTGCTAACATAACAGAAAGAAGGTTTCGTGCGCAAGTCCACATAAGTGGGAAAAGCTTTTGACTGCTATTCACCTGGAAGTGCCAGAAGTGATTCTTGTGCACACGATTCAAATCGCAGCTCACAACGTCCGGATATTTACATCCACGTATCCTCTGGGTAGCGACTAAACACCAATTTGGGAGCGAGATAAAGTGAGAAAACGTAACACTTCGCATGCTGGGTTTGGGCCCCGCCCGTGCCTCGGCACGGCTGGTTGATGTCCTTGGGAAGACAAAGGCTGACATCATCGCCATGCAAGAAATGCGTGGATGGGGCATGCCTTGACGGAATAGAAGGACGAGGCGTCCAAGGATCTCTTCTATCAGCGCTTGGAGCGTACATATGGGCGCTGCCCCCGACGTGATATAAAAATCGTGCTTGGCGATTTCAATGCCAAGGTTGGCAAGAGATATTTGGCGCTACTGTCGGAAAATTCACGACGAAACATCCGAAAACGGACTGAGGCTGATCGACTTCGCCGCGGCCCAAAACATGGTATTATGTAGTACCAGGTTCCAGCATAAAAATATCCATCAACCTACATGGCTGTATCCAGACCAGGAAAACGAGGAACCAAATCGACATGGTTTTGATAAACGGAGGGCATGCTTTCAGTGCTTTAGAAGTACGTACACTCTGAGAGCCAAACATCGACTCGGACCAGTATCTTGTTGCAGCAACAATGCAACGAAAGCTCAACGGCAATCACACCTTACGGCCAATTTGTTCGCGACTGGTTTAACCCACCTGCCCTCTGAAAGCACTCTTCAACAAACCGACAGACACAAGCAGTGAAACTACATTTTCCGCTTATTAAGAACTTCCGCCGAAGAAGTACTCGGATTTCATTGAGCCCGAAAGGACAACTAGTACGATGAAAAGTGTCAAGAAGCTGCAGAGAAAAAAGATCCCGCCTATGAAGAGGGAATCGAGACGTATCTGCTGCAATAAGGAGAGAGGCCGAAATACGTGAGTGCGAAGAGCTTTAGGTGCTGGCCGACAAGAAAAACGTCCGGAAATTTTACCAGAGAGTTAGACGACTTACGGAAGGTTTTAAGGCTAGGGTTCGCCTTGTAAGAACAACAATGACGACCTAGTAAGTGATGTCCAGAACATACTTAAATTATGGAGGGAACACTTTTTCACCCTACTGAGCGGTAAGAGCTCTGAAAGCTATGGAGAAGACGAACCCGACTCCCCGGACGGAGTCGATGTTCCACCACCTGACTATGACGAGGTACGAATAGCAATAATAATAATAATAGATTGGCGCTTACACATATGTTAGTGTTTGGCCGAGCTTCTCCTCCGATTTGTGGCGTGCGCCTTGATGTTGTCACACAAAGCGGAGGGACCTACAGTTTTACGCCGACTCCAAACGGCGATTGTATTTTTATGAGAAGCTGTTTTTCATGTACGAATAGCAATAGCGCGCTTAAAAACAACAAAGCGCTGGAGCTGACAGCCTGCCAGCT